AAGTGAAATAAGCTGGATAATATTGATCTATAGGATGAAGTGAAAATAGTACACCAACTAGGGATTTGAACATAAATGATAAGATGAACGTATAAGATAAGCTAGATGGGAAAGATTCATAGGTTTAAATAAAACTATAACATGGTTGAATGATAGAATTTGTGAAGTTATATGAGAAGATTATAAGAGCTATAAGAATTGAATTAAGTAACAGATTAGATATATATAAATAATAGAGTGAGATATGTTTATAGTCTGCCCTAGATGAATACGAAATATAAGAGTGCTATATGATTTATATTAGGATAATCTTGAGGATATATATATATATAGATAGATATGAAATGGAATGAAATGAGTTATATGAATACCCAATTATGTGATGAAATGGTGAATTACCTGAACATGTGAATATATATGTTTAAGAGAAGGCATACGATTAAGATATAGAAATGTGACTATAAGTATATGTGCTTTAAGTGATATGACTTATAAGTATTTCTATTATAATGTTACATGATATGTTATGTATGTTAAAGGAATTATGTGATGGTATAAGAATTGATAGGAAATATATGTGAAAACAAGTATATGATACGAGACAAAACTTATGACTATAAGCTACGTAAAGTGTTCTAGGTGTTTCGATATTATATGAAGTATATGATCTTATGTGAACAAGATATGATAAGTATGTTTATATGAATAAGGTGATTGGGTGAGAAATGATAGAAATTATATGAAAACATGACATATGTGACATGTGAATTATATGGAAATGATCTACGTGCAAGTGAACTACGGGACTATGTGATCATATGAAAAGAAGCTATGTGATACGTGATATGTGAAAGTGAATTACAAGTTTATGTGAATATTTGAAATGAATAAATGATAACGCCCATGTTATGTGTCATGAGAGCTAGGGGTATAGTTGGCATGCCAAGAGTCGAGGGTTTATTTGGTTCTTTAGGACATATGTATATCCTTTGGAACCTGTGTGAAGTCTTGAAAGACACATACTTGATCCATAGTATATGTATATGATTCTTAAGGAATTCTACGTGGTCCTTATGGACATCATTCTACGGGCACTACGGTGCAATTCTACGGGCACTTCGGTGCAATTCTACGGGCACTTCGGTGCATTTATACGAGCTGTGGTGACAGCATAGTGCACAACCTCTATAGACTCACATATCGATAGTTCTCACATATATACATGGGCTAATCCAGAGATATGAACAATATAAGTTAGTGTATGATAAATGCTATAGAAATTATATGATGTTGTGTGTATAGTGTTTGATTGAAAAAGTATGTGATTATATGATAACATGTGAATGATGAATTATGTGTATGTATGAATTTACTGCGATTAATCTGATATGATTCTATACGATATGAAAAATGCCTGGAATTGCTATAACATGATAGAACAGAACATGCATGTATCAATATATGTTTTAAAGTGCATTATAAGTGGTTATGCCTCACTAAGTCTTCGAATTAGCGTGTGATTGTTTCACACGTAGGTTTCGAGAAGAGTAAGGAGTGATGCGGAGCAAGACAGGTCAGTTTTCCTTACCAAAAGATCAGATCAGAAATATTTGATAAAGTATGTTTTTGGTTATGTATAAAGTGTTGGCATGTAATAAGTCATTAAGTACGAGCACTCTGATAAAGTCTGTATTTTGTTTTAAATAAAGTTTTAAATTTCCCGGGATTTTTCTTAAGAGTCAAGGTTTGAAAAGTCAATGTGACACTTCGGACTCGTATCCGGGTCGGATACGGGTTGGGGGTGTTACAATTTACGTACTTTACCCAAAACTTAATAACATGGAGAAGAAAGGTTTTGTACACTTTTTTATATATTCATTATGTCACGTCAACAAATGATTCAATAAACCTTAAAAACACAAATGTATAACAGTGATAAGATTGTTAAGGGTAAACTTCGATCGAGAAAATAAAAATTTTATCAAACATTAATGATCATTTATGTAATTGCCCTTTTTAATTTTATTTATTCATTGTGCCACATCAGCAATTCGCTAAAGGTCAAAATGACAGTTAACTAGCACTAACCACATCTTAATTAAATAAAAACAAAAGAAACCAAATATTATATTTTTGGCAAAAGGCATCAGAGGTTCTTTTACTTTTGAAAACAAACCTTTTACATTTTTCGTTGTTAATCGTTTCAGTACTGGTGTGCCAGTTCACGATACTAACGGGGCAGTCCACAATGCTGATATGACAGTCTATCTACCATGTTTAAGTAATCAATTTAGCTCATCTGTCATGCCATCTGCCACGTTAATCTGTCACCCTAGATTACGATGTCATCACCGTAGATTGTCACGTTAGCATTATGAACTGCCACGCAATTCTGTAACGGTCAACAATGAAAAAACATTGGCCAAATGATCATATTGAGTTTTTTTTGAGTTTAAGGGCTACATTAAGAGAAAAAAAATAATATAATGACTACATTGGGTTTGTTTTTTTTCAAAAGTACAAGGACTTCTGCTTTTTTTTTTTTTTTGCCTATATCTTTTGAATTCAATGAGTAAAAGTGTATAAAACTTAATAAAAGTGATCAGTCTTGTAGTTTACCCATTTATTGACAAATTATAAATATAATCCTAATCCTATTTAGAGGGGAGCATAACGATAACTTTATGAAAAGAATGAGAGTGTTCCTATTGGATTTAGAATTCACGACCTAAGAAAATATAAAAAAAAACAACTTGGACAACCAACAAAATGTGTTTGCCCAATGATAGGATAAAATTAAAATCGAATACAAACACTTTGAAAACATATATTAAGAAATCTGTAATAAAGATTATCTAATAAACAATATTTCGTATATTTCTTCTAAAAATTCAAAAATCTCTTAAAAATTATTTTTAATTAGAGAAAACAAACTCTAAGTAGAACAAAAAAATAATAGATGTTCAACTACGATTGGTCCTTAGATATTTTCATATTATTATATTATTGAAGAATTAAAATATATCATCTCATATTGATTACTTCTTAAATTATTATCTATTCATTTAAGTTGAGTATGCCCTAAAAAAAGTTGATTGTTATTCTAACTTTTGTTTATTATCCTTTTTGAACTTCATATAATTTACTACTTTTTGTCCTATAATTCTTAAAAGGTGATTAATAGATTTAACTAATTTATTTTAATAATAATAATAAAAAGTAAGAGATATGACGGTAAGAAAGAAATATAAATTATTTTTCTAATATGGCATTTTAAATGGACAATTTTTAAAATTAAAAGGGACTTTTAATCAGACATAGGGAATATTTTTTATTACATGTATATTTCAATAGTGAATCTAGAAACTAAAAAATAGTTTAAAATTTTAATATTTCTTCCAATAAAATGGGAATGTATTTTCTTTTTCTTTAATACAATGAACTAAATTTAATAATTTTTCTAGAATAACGAGGATGTACTTGACTCATAGAAAACTTAACACATTCACCCCATACTTTAAGATTTATTATTAAAATGATATTATTTCATATGAATTAAATCTGAAATTATTTATTGAGTTCACGTAATTTACCCATTCATTTAAGTTGAACACGCCCTAGCAAACATGAATTAATTATAATAATAGTCAAAGCTTGAAAATTAAATGTAGCTAATCAAGTCACTCTTGTTTGATGTTTGGGGGCAGTTTTTTTTATGATGAAGATGAATGAAATGAAACACCTTTTGAGAATAAATGGTAGATATTACAACGAGTCTGGTTTAGGTTGGATTTTTGGTCATAAATCTGATTTGAAAATTGAAATTTTTCTCTTGTACTCGATTTAATACGGATTTAGTAGAGATATCATCCGACCTAAAATTTAGTATGATATTTTATGTTAAAATTTGTATTCATATCTTATCTAACTCAATCTAAATATATACATTAAAAATTAGTTTTATTAGATAAAATAAAGATTTAATTAAAAATGAAAAGAAGTATTATTTTAATTATCTCTAAATATATAAAGGATAATTATAATATTATATTAGATCAAGTTTGATTTTTCTCATCATAAACTTGAACCTAACCCAACTCTTATCACACCCTAAAAAAAATCAACTTAAACCAAACTTGAATTTTCAAAATAAAATATCAATTTGATTGGATCGGAATCCATCGAGTACGAGTAAAATGACCATCCCTAATAAGAGGTGAAGATGTGGGGGGAAAGTTAGTTGGCAAAGGATTGCATACTTAACTTTACTTGTGCTTTGACATATATCTTTATTCCTTTTGAAATTGAAGTCCCATATTCTGGTATTTATAAATGCAAATGATAGAAGTTGTTTCAACTATGGAGGAAACATCAACTAGTTTGATAGATTTGGTGTTCTCTTGGTCCATTCAAGATGCCCTTAATTCCAATCTATACAAATCTCAAGTTTTGCAATTGCTTCTACACTTTTGTTTAATCTCATATCATCTTATCCTAATGTTTTATTTTTCCCATATATATATTAAAAGGATCCCCGATTATATGGCATTGCTTTATCGAGTCTCTCGACTATTAAAAGTTATAAAACAATCACTCGATTATTTATATGTTCCAACTTATCCTTTTCCGTTAAAAAATTAGTTGTCTGAGTTAGACGTTAAAATGTTGATTGAGATATGATAGTTTTTTGAGCTTCTGAGATCATATTTTACTATATCTTAGTCAACATGTTAACATCCACCTCAAACCGTATTAAATTTTTAACGAAAAAGATGATTTTGGAACATATAAATAGTCAGATGATCATTTTGTAACTTTTAATAGTCATGAAACTCAACAAAGCAATACTTATAATTGTGAGACTATTTTGTAACTTTTAATAGTCGGAGGACTCAACAAAATATCACCATATTGTTGAGAGACCATTTGTGTACATTACCCTATATATGATTACTTTGATCATAATTACGTATCCCTGTGTTCTTAATTGAACTGAACAGGTGAGGAAGATCCCTGGGACATTCACTTCTACTGCAGAATACTTGAGCTCCTTTATTGTTCCTCTTGTTGTGGAAACACATGCAGACTTGCTTTCAGCCATGACGAGGCTGTCTCGGGCGCCTTCGTATCAGCTCTCTTCCATTGAAAGGGACATAAGCTACCGAGCCCCGATCCATTTTTCTTATAAAATTGTTTTGCGAAACTCTAACCGGACCGATTTAGTAACATACCGACCGCAGGGTGGAGACCTTGCAGCACTTACCGACGTAAGACGGAGATGCATCAGCGATTTGAACCGGCTTACAATGCCTTTCCTACTTGCATATGTCCAAGCAGTGGACGACCATAAAATCTCCATTTGGTCATCGAAGTCGGTCGTGATTGAACAAAAGATGCATAGCTATCAAAGAAGCATGATGATCTCTTTTTTGTGTTTTTAACTAATTTGACTACCAATATTCGAATATGGAAAGCTTTGAATCCGGATCCTTTACGAAGGAACCTGCAGATGATCTACAAAGTTATTCATATGAATGTAGATGTAAGCAACTGTACCGTTTCGATCCGTATTTATGCTTACAAGTCTTTTCACTTGGCTAATCTTGCTTTATGTTTACTTGCAGTACGAAGAAGATTGTGCCGTGTGCTTGTTGGAAAACAACTCGGAGTCGGGAACCATTCCTTCATTCGAATCTTACGGTTTAAGTGATTACCAAGAAGCTGCAATTGCAAGTTGCATTAAGACATGGAGATGCCGCCATCAAAATAGTGTCAAACTCATATGGGGTCCTCCAGGAACAGGGAAGACTAAAACAGTTGGCCTGTTGTTGCTGGCTCTTCTAGGAGATGAGGGATTGAGGGGAACCCTTTATGACACCGGAAAAGAATGCGAATTCGTCGGTCGCTTCGCAGAGTTGAGAGCTGCAATAAAAACTTGTCTCCCGATGCTCAAATCACTCGGTCACTCATTTCGAGTTCCAGAACTTATGCAAAGGTTCATGATCAAGAACCTGTGCTTGGACAATGCATGCATACTTTTCTGCAGTGCATCAGGCTCTTACAAATTGAATACCGAACAGACACGACCGCTCGATCTTTTGGTTATCGATGAAGCTGCTCAGCGGAAAGAATGCGAATCAACCATTCCCTTTCAACTTCCCGGTCTCCGCCATGCCGTTCTCGTAGTAGATGAACGGCAACTGCCTGCAATGATAAGAAGCAAGGTTCTCAATGCTATATCCTTGTCGCTCTTGCTTTCATCGCCTTTTAAGTCATAATTTGTGGCTTGAACAGATATCAGGAGAGGCTGGATATGGAAGGAGCCGGTTTGAAAGGCTCGTGTTACTCGGACAAAAGAAACATCTATTCAATGTCCAGTACAGAATGCATCCATCTATAAGCTCGTTTCCAAATATGGAATTCTATGATGGGTTGGTTTTGGATGCCACAATAGTAAAACATAGAAGGCATGAGAAGCGTTTTCTGCATGGGAACATGTATGGTGCCTACTCATTCATCAATCTTGCCTATGGAAAGGAGCAGTTTGGACATCTGCATAGTAAAAAGAATATGGTGGAAGTTGCAGTGGTTTGCAACATAGTTGCTAGCCTCTTCAAAGGTATATCTCGTGTGAACTACGGATGGTTTTATGTCTTATCTCTTCCGAACTTCTTCCACAAATCGTACTTTTACCATCACTTTTCTGCCTATTGAATTCTTTAGAATTCCAAAACGCTTCGAGTTCCATATCTTCCAACAAACTATATCCACTTAACTACTTACAGACTTCTGTGGTATGTTAAAGGTAAATTTATTATTTAAGAGTCGTCTATTTGTCCTGTCAACCTATAGACAGAGCCAGCCCAATACATGTGTCAAATGGGCCTTAGTCCAGGGCAACATGTTTGAAGGGGCACCATCGGATTTTGGCGATGATCGGCAGGAACTCCTGCGAGGGAAAATATGAAAAAATCTGATGGAAAGAGAAGGAACCAAAGAGAAAATAAAGGAGCGGGTAGTGGAGATTTTTAAAAAAAATTCAACTTGACGGCGTTAGCATTGGATCCATTATCCGTTTGTCTCTTCCCCTTTCCCAAAAGCTCGGGCATGAAAGTTGGGCTAAGGTGGATAATTTAATATGGGCTGAAAGCATTTTGCTGCTATATATCACCACTTTTTTTAAAAAAAATAATAATAAGGTAAAGTATACAAATGGTCCCCAACTATAACATAAAGTTTTATTAAGTCTCTTGATTATTAGAAGTTATAAAATGGTCTTCTAACTATAGAGTATTGTTTTGATGAGTCCCTTGACTATTAAAAATTATAAAATGGTCATCCAACTATTCATTATGATCTAAACCCGTTATTTTCTATTAAAAAATGACGATATTCTAAACTGAAAGTCCATGGACTTCTATTCAAATAATGGAGTTTGCAAGAAGAATGGATATGTTCCCTAATGTGTTGATAGCATATAAAATTTTATTGACGGTACCGGTTACGGTTGCTTCCGCGGAAAGAAGTTTTTCAAAATTGATGGTCTTGAAATCCTATCTTCGAAGTACGATGTCTCAAGATAGATTGAACGGATTAGCAATTCTAAGCATCGAAAGTCAATTTTTACAAAGTCTTTATTATCGTAAAATAATAGAGGTTTTTGCTTCAAAAAAATGCACGAAGACATCGTTTTAGGTGATATTTGTAGCCTTGTAGGTTTTGGTTTGTATTAGTATTGATATTATTTGACTATAATTTCTATTACATTTTTGTTTTAAAAAAATTATATATGTTTGGTCTATTATATGGTACAAGTATAGGGGTATAAAAATTATTATCTCGCCCAAGGCATTAAAACTCATTGGACCGGCTATGCCTATAGATAATTATCATGACCCTAGGTTCGACACTAACACTAAAAACATGTATAATTGTTATGCTATTATTATGTCGTGTTTGCTTCTTAAACAGGGTTCAATGCAACAAAACAGAGAATGAGCATTGGTATTTTATCACCCTACACAGCTTAAGTACATGCAATTCAAGAGGGGCTTGAAAAGAACTACGGTGGATACTCAGACAGGGGCTTCATCGTCACCATCCGTTCAGTCGACGGATTCCAAGTAGGTGAAGAGGATGTCATAATCATCTCTACCGTCAGATTCTACATAAATGGATCAATTGGTTTTCTATCCAATCCACAAAGGGAAAATGTTGCCTTGACACGTGCAAGGTAATATTATAATATTATGATTTTGGTCCCTCTGCTATTCTCAACTTTTGGCGTTGCTTGTTGCAGGCATTGCCTATGGATATTGGGGAACGAAGAAACATTGGTTAAAAGCGATTCCGTGTGGACGAAACTAGTTACCGATGCGAAGAGAAGGGGTTGTTTCTTTAATGCTGATAAAGATGAGCATCTGGGTGAAGCAGTTGTTACAGCCTTGACTGATCTTGAGCAATTCGACACTCTATTAACCCGGGATTCTCCATTGTTCAAGCATGCAAGATGGAGGGTTTGCTTCGGAGACGACTTTAACAAGTCCATGGGGTACATAAAAAACAAAGAGATACATAAGCAGATGATTAAGGTGTTGGAAAACCTTGCAAGTGGATGGCGTGATGAGAACATGAAGAAGAAGAAGAAGATGAAGATTGATGAAAATTGTTTTGGGTTGATGGAGGTGTATCCTGTGAGTGGTGTGATGAATTTGGTTTGGAGTGTGGAAGTGGAGATGGTGAAGGGGAATACAGTGTGGATCCAAGTTCTGAAGGTTTGGGATATCGTGGATTCGTCGGACATAGCCATGGCTGCTCACAAGCTCCGCATCCTTTTTGAAGAATACACAGGATAAGATCAGTAGGTGCAAATATCAGTGTCTGGAAGGGTAAGTCTTCTTAAAAGCTATAATATTGATTCCGTAACACACAAGTTAGTGCCCTTAACAAATATTATTATAAAATGTACAGGAATTTGGTTGTTCCAATGAAATGGTCAGTGCAAGTGCAGGAGGTACAAATTAAGGGGCATGAAGATTATAAAATGGAGTGCTTATCAAGAAATGGGAATGCAAATGGCAACACCATTAATTACAATTCACTTGGTTTCTATTATGGTATAATTATCTTTTTTGTAGCCATTGCTAGAGATGCACATAGCCGGATTTAAATCCGATCCTGATCGGATAAAAACCGATCTGGATTTTTCACTAAGCTAAAAAACCGGTTTATAAAAAAAACCTGTTCGGATCATAACCGATTTGGAGGGCCGGATGATGTAACCGGTGTAACCGGTTTCGGTTTGAAAAAAACCGATTTTTTAAAAAAACCGGTTTTTAATCCGGTAAAAAACCCGGTCATCCAATTTTTTAAACCCAGACCGGATTTTTAAACCCCAGACCGGATTTTTTTCCGGATAAAAAACAAGTTTTTTATCTAGGTTTTTTCAAACCGATTTTTAATCTGGAAAAAAATCCGATCGTCCAATTTTTTCCCAAATCCGATTTCGGATATTTTTTACGCAAAATCGGATATTCGAATTTTTTGTGCACCTCTAGCCATTACTATGTTTGCAACCAGATATCCACCTTGGTCTATCCTCATTTTCATTACTTCTTTTATTTTAGTTTTTTTTTTAATCCAACAATAGGAACTTATCATTTAAAGAGGGCTGCAAAGGTAGAAGATAACAGCAGATGAGAGATTTGCAGGAAAACTGCTTTGTTAACACCACTAAGCTTTCTAAATGTTCCAAAATCTGAACTTACATATGATCATCAACCAAAAGCCCATACGGACATAAATATTAGCACAAATTCCCCCGCTCAACATTAATTACAAAATTAAATTAAATTCTAAGATATATTATATGCCTAACCTAGCCTCTTGCTTCTCATGTGCCACCCAAAACTAAAGTTCCCGAGCAAGACCTCATAGTAAAATAGCTGGAGGATCTGGCTTTTGCTCAAAAACTACTAATAGCTTCAACCAAGAATGTCAAGCAGTTTGACGCCACCAGATTATCCCTACCCGATGTCAGTATAGTCCGGTAGGATTGAACAATCATCAAGGCCTGAAATAAAGCCACGGGAATAATTATGTGGAATCACATCGAAGCCCTCTAATTCTGATGCGAAAGCCTCATCCATGCTGGAACAGAAATTACTATCTACGCCATCAACCCAGCTTCCGTCATTATTCACCAATGTTGGATCACTTCTTAAGTTAGGATTATGGAGTCCAATTCTACATGCTTGTTGAAATACTAGCTCCGCATGTAAGTTGGATACATCACCATGCTCCATTGAAGCCTTCTTTAGTTTTGATTTAGATCTGGTTGTATCCGATACAGGCAGCTTGTGTTTCCCCAAGGACTGCGATTTTTGTCCTGACCGAGACTTGGGATCATTAGCTGGAAAGGCAGCTGAAGCCCAATGCAGACCACCTTCGACACCAGCCATAGTTGCTGCCCTGAGAAAAATGCCACTATATTTGGTTAGTAATCAACACAACAGAACCCAGGTACTTAAAAATCTAAAAGAATATAAAATTCAATGCATGACCAATCTATCAACCAATGTAACCACATGCCCTACAGAACAAATACTGAAATTATCATTATCCCATTTTGATATTATATAAAAGGCATAAGAGTTAGAGCTATAATCTGAACTAGCATGCAAGAGATTCACAAGGACAATCTTTCAGACCAATGACAATAACTCCTAGCCAACGATTCATTACCAAGTATGGTACTTAATTTGTAACTAAAACAAGCAGCTATACCTGAAACGATTCTCAGCCAAAACATTTGAAGCTTTTAGATGAGGGTCTTCTCCATTAGTCTTGTTTGTAGACGTAACAGGATTAGGGCCACATATTAATAAATTCATTACTGGTGGGAATGGAATCATAGAATCATTGCTCTCCCTCTCGATTTCCACTGTTATCTCTAAACTTTCTTCATTCGCCTGAGAATCCTCTCTATTAGAGAGAGAAACTGCTTCATTCCGCTGTCTATCGCTGGCATCATGAAATGCAGCTGATAACAACTTGCTACACTCATGCAAATTTGAAAATTTCATCCTTGGTGTCATATACTGTGAAGAACGCTGAGGTGTGTGGCCAATAAACGGACTGAGAAGCCTTCCCCCTAAACGAACACCATTCCGAGGTGATAAAACATTTTGTCGATGTTCAGGGCGAAGTGTCACCCTCCACACAGATGAAAGCAAGGCAGTAAAATGCTTTTGAAGAAGTAACTCATGATCTGGCTGTGCAGCAGCAAAGTTTAACAGCATTCGCATATTATCCTGCCATGATATAATATTGACGGATAACTTGCTTCATTGACTATCATAAAAATATTAATTTGTTGAACGTAATTAAATCTATGAACACATTAAGTCAACCGCACAATATGCATATATTGTCATCAGCCCTGAAACTGGTAAATAGGGCGGCAAAAGGGAGGAGGAACCGAGGGAAATGGGGGGTCAGGGGAAGTGCGGTAACAGAATTTATTTTCCAAAAATAACCTGGTGGTGGGAACCACATTAAATATTCTCTTAAGTCCTTCCTTTCCCCAAAAATGAATAAATAATAATATGATATGTGAATCATTGTAGTTTTGGCGGATGAGGCCCCACGTACTTAATAGATAATACTCTAAAATGACTTGGTTGCTACTGAATGGGCAGGCAACTTTATATCAGGTGATCTTTAAAACTTTACACGTCAGAACAATGTTCACCTCAAATATTTCTTTATTTCTTGCTTTTATCCTCCTCACCATCTTAAAAAACGAATAGCATACCTCTGTTACTTTCAGAAGAGCTTTTCCAGAACCTGCATAGCTGATCTTTTCATTACCCAAACTGTCTGGTGCAGCCAAAACATGTCTTTGAATTAGTTCCCTGAACCTCTCACAACAATGAACTGGATGACGATATCTACCCCTGTAAAAGCCACCAGCAGTCATGCTATAGAGAGCGTCACTAACCAAATTCCAATTTGAGCCATATTCATGCACTACCGCACATAAAATAGCATCCTCCTGTGCCAACCAAGAATCAGGTGATGGAACACAATCTTTAGACCAGATATTGGCGTTCTTTAATTTCTCTGGTTTTATAATTAAGACTCGTTTCATGGGCATGGATGTAATGGAAAATTTGCCTCCCGTTTTGCTCCTGCTGGCAGGTTTCTGCTCATGCTCAACAGAATTGCTCTCACATGGGTTTACCTCTGCACAATCACCATTCCTCTTACGAGATGTATTTGGTTCCAATTCCCCCAGAGGCTTTTTATGCTTTTTGGGCTTCTTTTTTGAGCTCTTCGCTTCATCACTATCATGCACTATCTCGACCTTCTTACGTTTTTTCTGCATAGATGATGGTGACATGATATCAGAATAAGAGAGCTCTTCAGGCGAGTCAATATCATCATCCATGGACATAAGTTCTGTTAATGCCCCCTGTTTTGCAGGTTTTGCTTCAGAATTTAAAGACCCCTTCTTGAGAGACTTAAACTTGGCTTTCTTTGGCTTCTTCTTCTTAGATTTAGCCTTAGGTTCACTAGTCATTTCATTCCTGTAAACAGATGGCAGGTTAAAATTGAAATTTTTATCCAAAAGCCATATATAAGGATTTGACTCATTCCATAAGCAGACCTAATTCTCATATTTCAGTGACACGAATCATTGATTTGTAGGTGCTTGTTTTAAATCACCTTTTTATCTATAAAGAATGTCGTGATTCATCCCTAAATCCTAGTTAGAAGATAAACTTAGAAAGTTGCAAGATTTTTAGCTGATAGAAAATCCAAATACAAGCTCATATTTAATGCAACAACCATTGTTTTTAGGCATAAACATCATGCAATAAATTCTAAAGCCTTGCACATCAATCGTTCAGCTGTTAAGGGTACTGATGAGATTCCTATGTGATAATAATATCATCCATTGCAAAGTAGAACTTGCAAAGTAAACATATAATAGTAAGCAGTTACCACTAAAGTTAAGAGTTATTACTTATGAGTTAAAGTCTCATTTTTCAGATTAGCTAACATGACATAATGCAGTTGCAGATAAATCTTGTATTACTCAATACATCAAATGACAATCCTATTGTGTCGGGAATAAAAAGAACATAAAAGTGCTAGCAAAAAAGTTTTGAGGCTAAGAGTTAAGAGACATCTTACATTGCATCCAATTTTGCTTCATCTGCCTCTTCCTTCTCTTTGGCTTCATGCTCTAGTTCTTCCATTAACTACAAGGTACAAATTTAAGAAAATAACACAAAATAGCTACCTCAAATAAACTACAACATAATAAAAAATAGTTTAAATGGCTGTATATAGAAATTTACTTACCTGATGTTGAACCAAAGCAACTTGTTGACGATATGCTTCTGTAGCAAAATCAGCATCCCATTCTGAAAATGGTTGATAGCAAAGCATTAATTCAGGATAGACACAACTAAGATCATAAATTTATTTGCTTTTCACTATTTCAAATATTATTATGTATAAAGTGGAACTGTATGAGCAATCCCTGGTTTTGTATGATTAGTAACCTTAAAGGTATGCAAATCATTTGACCCATTAATTTGTTTCTTGCTGAGGGAGAATCAAATAAAAGGAAACAATGTAACTGACCTAATTTTGCAACTGATTTTTTTTTTTTAAAAAAACCTTTAAAAGCTTATTGCTTCTCATAATACAATGCCAAGCAAAAAAAGAGTTTACACAGAAAACGAAAAGACACTTACTCTCATACACTAGAGGTTCCTCATCATCATCAATCTCAGCTTCCATTTCCTCCTTGTACTTCTCAATTCGATCAAGTTCCCATTCATCTTCAAACTTCAATTCAGGTTCCATTGCTCCCTTGTCAATAATGGGGTCCCATAATTCCAGAAAGCGGACTGCATATCGATCAATTGGTCTTAACTGGTTCTCAAGCGATGAGATAGCTTGTCCTCCTGCCGCAGCAGCAGCTGCCATCTTCTTAACATCAGCCAACATATCAACATCATCTTCTTTGCTAGCAAGAATAAGAGCTTTGTCTTCAATAGGATCACCGACATTCAAAATCAGCCCATTATCTTTATTTGAAGTAACCATAAATCCAGCTTGATCAGTTGACTCATCAGCCTTCATGTCATCCTCATTTGCAAACTCATCATCTTCCAGTTTGCTCATGGCTTCCTCTGTAAACTCCTGGTTGTCAACAGCCTCTTCCTGTTCAACTTTCTTTAATGCCATGTAATCTGCTTCATCTTCTGCATATTTCAAAGCAGCTTCAACATCAGCATTAGAAACAGAGTCCTTGGTGCCATTGCTGTGATTTTTCTCTTTCTGACTCCTAACTGTAAGAGTCCTATGACCCGAAAACAATTCCATGGGATCAAGCTTCTTGAAAAATTCAGTATTATACCCTCCACTCTGTATAACTAGATCATCAAGGGCACGCTTCTGATTTGCTTTCTTCAAAATGTTTTCTTCAATGGTGCTCTCACTGATTAGACGATATATGTGCACTTCACGTGTCTGTCCTATTCGATGGCAACGATCTTGGGCTTGCTGATCCATGGCAGGATTCCAATCACTATCATAAAATATAACTGTATCCGCCCCAACAAGGTTAATACCTACTCCTCCACTACGGGTTGATAAGATGAAAAGAAAAATTTTAGGATTAGTGTTGAAACGTTGCATTAATGTTTGTCTCTCCTCAGGTTGAGTGGACCCATCCAGACGCATGTAATTATATCCATATATATTTATGAAAGCCTCCAATATGTCAAGCATCTTGGTCATCTGGGTAAATATTAATGCCCGATGACCTTCAGACTTCAGTCTTCGTAGCAAAACCTCAAGCTCCTGTAACTTACCACAGTCAAACTGTATCAATCGCTTGTCAGGAAAATATACCTGCCTCCGGACTATTGCAGGTCTAATAGGTGCTAAGAGAGAAAACAAATTTTCAGCACATTGTTCTATATAAGTTGGATGCAGAAACACAGAAGTTCCCATTTTGCTGCACCAGCAAACAGGAGTTGGGGACCGTGCTGCTGGGATTGCAAACACGAAGGACTCAACCAGATGGACCATTGTCTGGAAGCGTTCAACTGAAGAAAGAATAATCTCAGAAAGCTTAGAGGAGTACAAATAGGATCGGCTGTCTGCTTTTTGTCGGTGAATATCAAATGCAGGGTGTTTCACAGTTAGCAGTTCACGTAATGTTGTCGGGAAAATTGGTTTCTTCCTGCATCTCAAAGAATTCCACCAAGCAATTGATGTTGCTCGTTCTTTTGCTTCTCTTAGCCTCTCTTCTCTTAAAGCCTTCCTAATCTCTTCAAATATATTGGTCCCTTGCAAGTTATCCTTATGTCTAGACAAGGGTCTAATTTCCTCAAGATTATCCTGATCAAAACGTTCTTCTATTAAACTTTTTGGAGTAACCAGTCTTTCTACTTCATCACCCTCCCAAGATGTCATGCTAAAATTGAGATCAGTAAATAAAATTCCCAAACCCTTAAGATCTACAGTTGAAAATGGACCAGGTGAAAAAATTGAACAAATAGAACTACTCAACTGGATATTAATACCACCCATATCAAAAGAACTCACAATTGGTCGTCCCTCAAATAAGTCAGGATGATTACAGACTTTTCGAAGTTGCATGATCACACTGATCATCCCAAAAAAATTGGCACTAGCAAGTGTGGCTTGTGTCTCTGAGCTGGCAATGAAATCTTCATACAAGTTACGCTGCCTTCTTGAAAGTCTACAGTATATGACATGCTCATGTTTCAATGGAAGCTGCTTTTCGACATCCCTTTTCAATCGACGCAGTATAAATGGACGTAGAACATTATGCAAACGGTCAACAACCTCTTTGTTTACTTTTTCTTGTCCTTCTATCATACCTGATATAGGATTACAGAACCAATCTTTGAATTCTTGATGAGACTGAAAAATGTGGGGCATTAGGAAATGCATTAGTGACCATAGTTCCATGAGATCATTCTGAAGTGGTGTACCAGTCAACAAGATCCTCCGTTTTGAATTGAAGTTCAAAAGAGTTTGCCATCTTTGTGACTTCCAGTTTTTAATAAGATGAGCTTCATCCAAGATTAAGTATTTCCACTTCTTTCGCTTGAAGACCTTAGAATCTTGTATGACAAGTCTGTAAGTAGTTATGCATACATGAAATGAATTTGGTTTCAACCAACCTTGCCTCTTCAATTTGCGCTCTTTGGCACTTCCAAAGTATGTCAGGATTTTGAAGGCAGGACACCATCTAAGAAACTCAGTTTCCCAGTTGAGCATAACACTTGTAGGAACCACAATTAGATGAGGACCCCATATTCCCTTTTCACAAGCCAAGTGTGCAAGAAGAGCAATTGTCATGATTGTCTTTCCAAGCCCCATTTCATCAGCTAGAATTCCATTTAACCTTTTCTCATACATAGTAACAAGCCAGTCCAAGCCAATATGCTGATATTCACGAAGGGGGTGTTTGAGAAGAAAAGGGAACTTTGTACGAACATTAGTGGTTGAGAATGTATTGCCAGTTGGTTGTGCTGATCTTGCAGCAGCAGCAGCATCAGCAATTCTATCCTCACTTTCCTTTCCGTCTTCTGACTTTCTATCAGGGCTTGCTGCCTCCTCTGCAGGAGGTTCCACAACTCCCAGGGGAGCACTGGATTCAAGATTTTTACCCTTAGAAATACCCTCCTTCCTTGCTTCAACATTTTGATGTGTAGGTGAATCCAAGCGGTCCTCTGATAAAGATGAGGCATAATCTGATTCATCTCCAGACACACCACCAGCACTGATGTCCTATTTGATATAAGTGGATAATGAAGAAAAAAATTAGATAAAAAAGGTAATCTTTGGAAAAGGGAAGAAACAATAGTTTAACCAACCTTTTTATAAATTCGAAGCAATTCTTCCACAGGAATTTCACTCTCCTTCTGCAGTAAGACAATCTGCATAAGAGCAGCAATGTTTAACCACAAAGAACTAGGACAAGAACTTCTACAACCGAATTGGGGATAAAACAACTCCAGAAGGTCAGGGAATTGATACATAGAAATACAAGCCATGTTGAGTATGCCCATTACCTCATCCATAGGATCGCTAAAATCTGCTTTTGCTAGTTCCTCCTCCTCTGATAGTGTTGTCTCATCATCCTAGTCATTGGGAGTAAAAGAAAAAAACAAAGAAAAAAGACGTGAGAATCAAACTCTTAGCAAACAACCAAAATGGTCAAATAAAATTTTAATCGATTTTGGTCAAGGAAAGGCGTACATACATCATATTAGACAAAACAAGAAAACATACATTAAATCAATTGATCAAAACAAGGTAATTTACTACCCTTCTGACTATAACTAATGAATCAGAGTGAACAACATAATTTAAAAAACGTCAATAACCCATTCCCTCAAAAATATAAAATGGAAGAATACAAAGAACTAAATGTGGTTCAAGTATAACAAATTCTGAATGACTCTCATATTCCTTTGGCATAATTGCACTGATCATATCAATGCAACTGAAACAATCTGTTGACTGTTATATACAGAAATATGAAGCATATGACCAAGACTAGAAACCTTTCATGACAGGCATCCATCACCAGCACTATACAAACAACATAACATAAAGACCAAAGGCTAGAGAGAATCTAGGCGTTAGTGAGAGAAGCTCCACCTTCTATCTAAAAATCAGGTGTTTTAGATAAATTTTTTGTCTTTATTCCTTTTCATTTCTCTTTGATGGCGAGTAAGGTGAGAGTTCCTGTTGGGAAAAATTGTGTCAAAGTGATCATTTTCAACATTCCAGAGTGTTTTCATTACCAAGGTCTTTGGTTATTTTTCGATAAATATGGCGAGGTGGTTGATTCTTTCATCCCTAATAAAAGAAGCAAGGGAGGAAGTAGGTTTGGTTTTGTTCGTTTCACCAGACTGGAGGATGCGAGGAAGGCTATCAACTGTGTTGATAGATCTTCGATTCAAGGTAACAAAGTTAGAGTTTTCATGGCACGATATCATCCTCGTGATGTTTTCTGGAGGAAGAAGTTCTCTGGTCCTTATCCAGTTGAGGGCAAGAGTTTAGTGGAGGATGTTAGTCATATGGAGGCTCCCATTGTTGGTTCTGTTGACGAGAGTAAGCTCTCAACTCTCAAAGACAGCTTGGTAGGATGGTGCAGAAATTTTATTAAGATGAAAGTGTTGGCTGCTATTATGCACAAGGAAGGTATTGTAGGTCTGAAAATTATGAGATTAAGCGGGTTAGCAATCTTAATCTTATTTAAAGATGCAAAGAGTAGGGACTTTACTCTACATAATCAGATTGAGGCGTTGAATAAATGCTTTGACAGAGTGGATGTTTGGTCGGAAGATTTTAAGTGCAGCAGTCGTCGGGCATGGCTTTCATGCAAAGGGATCCCCTCATTTGCGTGGAGTCTCTCCACCTTCAGAAATATTGCTCTCAAATGGGGAGTTCTTATCTCCATTGAGGAAGGGACCCTAAATAACGGCTCTTTTGATAGGACTTTGCTACAGATCATCACGAATTGTCAAGCTCGTGTGGAAGAATCAATTGCTTTGAAAGTCGGGGATAGGCTCTTTAAAGTTCATGTTTCTGAGTTTGAGCCATGCTTCAACCCAGAATCTGTCTGGGTAGAGTCATCTTCGTTGGAAGAGGCAGTCGCATCCCCGTTATCCAAGGTGGGGGAGCTCGTTGGCGTCTCTCCAGTTAAGTATCCCGAGTTGGAGGTGGGTGCTGAAGATGCAGGAAGAATAGTGCACTCATCGGAGGTGCAGTTTGCCGAGAGGTGTTTTGAGAAAGAAGAAAAAAAATTCTGTTGTATGGGGAGTAGTACTAGAGGCAGCTTCTTGTCGGGTGAGGGCATGGAGGACAGGAACATAGGCGAGGAAATGATGATGGGTCCGAGGAGTGTCGTTGTGGGTCAGGGGATGGTTATTTCACAACTTGAGGAAGTGGGGGAACACGAGAGATTGTTGGTGCACGTGGAGAGAGAAGCAGTGGATGTCTTTAAGGACAGTTGTTTGCCTACACGTGGTTATGAGGGCTCGAAGGATTATTATAAAGATTTCCTCATGTTGGATGGTTGGGTTGAGTCAAAGGTGGAGGAGGATGGGTTTCACGAGGGCCCTTCTTACAACTGCGCATACAAAAATCCAAAGGGTAACGCAAGGCAGTACATGAGACCTAAGGAGGGTTTTGGCAACAAAAATAGATCCATCCAAATTTTTCAAGAGAATTTTACAGCTCCCAAAAGAAAGTCTAGGGGTTACCGAAGCAAGAGCCATCAAAGTAATGTGCAGCGGGAGGAAAAGGTGTTTGTTATTGAAGGCAGATTCATATACGATTCTGACTTTCCAGCATTGGGGCAGTCCCAACAGAAGGATGCAATCGATTTCTTGCAGTTTGGGAAAGAATTGGGTTGTGAGTCTAATGGCTCAGTAGTGTATCTGATTTCGTAAGACTATGGCGGGGGAAGATGTAGAAGTTTCAGGTGATCTGCATCATGCTTATTGTTTGGAGCTGGAAGTTCGGATGGTCTCAGCCGACAAGACGAGTTAAAGTGGCGGAAAGGCGGCTATGTACGTGCTTTTTTGTATTCTTATCATGAGAAAGCTTGGTGGCTTTTGAGTTAGAAGTTGGCTTCTATGGTTTTAGTCAGCTATTACCCTTGGCTTCTATTATTGTTGTTTTGTTTTGTTTGGGCGTCTTTCAGGCCACGTTTAGGCTTTTAGTATGGTTAGTCTGTTTTTTAGGCTGTTGTTTCTTAGTTGAATCAGGCTGGTTCTGGTAGGATTGTTTGAGGTTGTTTTTGGTGTTTTGTTTATATTGGGGGTGGCTCCCTGGTTGTATCTTGTATTTTCTATGGTTAATGAAATCTAAAGGCACTCTTTTCCTCCTCCCACTGATTAAGGAGCTTCTCTATAAGCTCCTTTAATCATGAAGGAGGTTTTTAACGAGGCCTTCAATTCCTATCAAATAAATAAATAAAGACCAAAGGGTGACCAATAAGGAAAGGAGGAAGAACAATATCTTCCATCAGCAAAGTAAAAGTGGAAGCAGTGAACTCAAATGAACACTATAATGACAACACCAATTATGGAAACCCCCCAAATAGCTAAAGCAAACAAGAGGTATAGTTCGGGCACTTATTTTTCAATTAAGCCTTCTTTATAAAAGCAACAATTTTCCTCGTTAATTAAAAACAAGAAATTTCAATATAGGCTTCCAAAAACTACAATGTATGTAAAAGAAAAGCTGCCTTAGGTCCCAGAACAGACAACAGAGTCCATAACCAGGAAAAAAGAGATACCATATGATGTACTGTCTCTTCTCCAGCAAGGGTAAAATCACCATCCTCCTTCAGGTCATGAAATAAAGGCAAACAGAAGATTAGCATTTGATAAAAAGAAGACAGACAATCAAGAGAAACAAAATAATTAAAAGGAACTGTTTTACCTGTTCGTCACTGAAATCATATGGTCCATCTTTAAGTAGCTCCCCAGAGCTTTCTGACAGATTTCTGGGTGAAGATGCCTCAATATCTGGTGAGTAGTTTTCTGACTTGGACAAGACACCATTGCTTTCATTCTATAATCAGAAAATAAACATCATTTTGAGACAAGTACTTCCTTTGCAATTGACAAGAACAACCAGAAACACATACAACTTACAGAACGACGAACAAGAAAATCAGTTGTCTCAACTTTACTGTAAGCAGAAACAAGGTTTTCATTGCCTGTGAAAATTAAAATTTTCAGAACTTTGAGCAGATCAATTGATACATATGGCACAAGTCACAAAAGTTATAACCAAATTATCAGGCTTACTACTATCATCATTCACTGATACTGACTCATTTCCATCCTCCCTCTTTTCTGGACTACCTTCTCCATCGGCTGTGAAAACTTACATTGATCAACATACCACATTTTATCCAAAAAAGAAAAAATAACTAAAATGCAAGCATGAAAATAAGGATGCAAATTACTTGGATGGCAGGACACACATCAAATACTTCAAATCTATATCATCATAATCCAAAAAGGAAGCATAAGTAACAATGCAAGCACTAACCCATATCATAACATGACTTGGCACATAATATGAAAATCAAAAGAATCATCAGCCCTCCCCCTGCCTTTTTTTTTTTTTTTGCCACAGAGAAATATGTAGGGAAAGAAGAGTAAAAGCATATAAACGTAACATGTTACCTGTTTCCACAGCATAACGCCTGAGGAGCTCCTCAAGTGGAAGATCTATTTCACTGTGCAAAGCTGCCAATTCTTCTTGCCTTTCTTCAGCAGTAATAAGAGCCTCATCTTCCTCTAGTGTTTGCTCATCATCTTCCTAAAACAAGATCATCGTGAAAAAAATATTATCACATGCTTAGACCACCAAAGCTTGAATGTTACCAAAAATAAAAACAAAAACAAACAAATTGTCTACAAGAATTTCTATAGAGACGTTTAAACCCATAATCTCTTCTTTTTCCTTTCCTTTTTCTTTTGACTATTTTCTCTAAAGAAATTAGATAACTACTAAAAAATGAACTCCATCATATACTTCACATCACTCAGTTCTCTTAATCTATACTCTCAATTCTACAAGCTTTTCCAATTCTTTCTCAAATTAACGAATACTTCACAGCTGGGCTGTGACACTCCGTAAAGTTCGTAATCCTTTTCCATTACTCTCCCAATGACACAGTATTATAGGGTATGATATCTGACACGAAAGAAAAGATAAAAGAGAATTCTTCAAGAAAATCTTCATTATTCTCCTTCAGAATCTATTGAAGATCAAACCACACAGCTCGGCAATTTACAAGAAAAAATAAGAATCACACTAAACTACAAAAAAAAATCATAGATATTTTCTGTTTACATACCCAATAAAGAATGGCATACGTAACATTAATAAAAAGCAGTTCTTAATTAAAAGAAAAATACTTACTGATTCTTGTTCAGAGTGCACATCAAAATCTTCATCAGCATCTGAAATCATATCAGGAGAGGTTCCATGAGGCAGGCATTTAAATTACTTTGATTGATATGGCATTGATGAGGCAATAACAAGTAATGATGAATCAATGAAATTCTGATTACCTGTATTCAAGTCCAAGGGTTCACCAGTCTCATTCATATCTGCTTTACCAGGAGAGTTTATTTGATTTTGAGCAGGATGCTGTTGCATAGGTTTGGACGGGTCCACTAAATTTTCTGCTAACATTGTTGAGTACCTAAAGTCCAAAACAAATATAAGTTCACTTTTCCTATGAAGGTAATGAAATTTAGGGTAAAAAACCAACCTCTCAGTTTGCCCTAAAAGAAACTCAAGTTGTTTATCCAGTGTCTTTTTCTTTTTCTCATCAAGCTCCATCTGATGTTTGTAAAGAACCTAGAATCACAAATTTAAATAGAGAATAAGATTCTTCATGCTAAGAAACCGAAAAGCATTCAGATTAGATCAATGGATAGTGACTTGCCAGTTTCTCTATTTTCATCCAAAATTTCTTCACGTCCTTAGAAATATTAAATGCAACTTTCCGTAACCGTTGTTCCTCCTCCTGATCACAATGGCAGCCATACTAGATTTAACAAATTAACTAAGGGTAGACTGACGTCAACTCAATCATATCAAAATGCCTTCTACACATTTTCTAATACAAACAAAACTCCAGGAATAGTCAATGATATGTTAAAAGAACTACAACTTTTTTAGTTTAGCAAGAGAAAAAGAAACCTTCAACTTCTTTTCTCCCCTGGTGGCCTGATCCAACATGCCCTTACTGGCTCTTAAAGCAACCTTCTTTGCCTGAGCCAGTTTCCATTTCCTCTCTGACTCGAAGTCCTGTTAAAATCCAATTTAGTTAGCAAGAGAGGAGAGCATGGAAACTGTTTCATATCTGCAGTAAAGAAGCATCCAGGCAAATAACATGAAGACATCCAGATATAAAGCACAAATGCCACAATAACATTTAATAATTATGCACTGAAAAATGAAAATATTCGGAGGCATAAGTTAGTCAATTACCTTTGATAACCAAACCATTTCCTCTAAAACATGATCCCAGTGTGATTTAGGACGTTGGGGCTCCCTATGTGCTTCCAGAGCCTAATATCAAGTTAAAACAAAAAATAATCAATACCAGAACACACTCTAGCAACATAATCTCTTACTGTAAAATCTAACCAACCTGAAGTTAAATCTGGAGGTTTCTCCACAGGCAATACAAAACCAGGACAGTCAGTCAGTATTCTTAACTAACTAATTCCATGCATGTCAACATGCATAATTTAAGAGAGATGTAATCTTTAGCAGAATACAGACTCCTACATGCAACAATCATTCAGTCCATCTATATCACCCAAATACCAAAAGTGTTTTTTCTTCAAAAGTGAGAAGTTATTGCAGTGTACAGTTTAAAGTTGAAGGAATGGCTTTCTTAAAAGGGTAGCCATGCTACAACAGGCATAGGAATAACCAGTTCAAAACAATAAATCGCTCCAAAAGGAAAGGATGAAGAGTTATCAAAGCCAATCAAATGACCATCATAAGTGAATAAAAGAAATAGAAAAGCAAAATCTTCAATGGACAGTGTTTAAGACAGGACTAAAGGTAGTTAAAACTTAAAACATATAGCTGGTGGATTAAAGTAGTGAACTGGTTTGTGCTATTGTATGTTTTAAGCTTTCATAGCAAGACCAAGTATCGTTATTGAATATAAAGCCACTAGTTCTCTTAGCTCTAATCTCGGCATCTTGTAAAGAAAAATAACATCATTCAACCCACCAAGGTCTGATGCTTGAAATCTAAATTATAAACAAATGAGTTGAACATCTAACAAGAATATTGTTAAATTATGCCTTTTATACCTTCAGTGTTCGTTAAACAATAAGAAAAAGCATTTCCATCAGGAATCGATAGGCGATTTCCCTTAGAGGAAAGGAAAATAACAAGCAAATGGGTAAAATTTATTTAATCTACCAGGGTTGTAGACTTGCAGTTAATAGATAAAACATTTTATTTCTAGATTCCATTAGAAACTACAAGGTGATTAGAAAAAACAAACATCTAATAAGCTATCAATTCTCAAGGTTCTGATACAATGTTTTCCATAATTTTTATCCATCTGATATAGTTTCTCACAAAATAACAAAGATTTAACTTCCTCTGGATAAAAGCGAATTAGAAACTGAAATACAACAAAAGTTTCATGACGCTTGCACATAATATAAATTCACCCTAAAAAGTATTGATCCTCCACTCAAGATTTGACCTTTAAACTTGTTTACATTTAACCACATGCAAAGATGTGAACAATGCATGATGATACTAACAACAAGGCTAAAAACATGTGAGACAAGAAAAGAGAGCAACAAAGGAATCAGACACAAGTACCTTTTGACGCCTAGCTTTTGTCTCATTCTCAAACTTAGACTTGATTCCTTTAGAGGCCATTATGCCGCTGCAGTGCTTAAATCATATTTTGCATGAGGAAGAACTGTGGAGGGAAGCCAAAATAATAAATATATTAATTAGTAGAGTACCAGAAAATAACAATCAATTTTGGAAAGCATGAACAATCAGAAACATTAGTTCACATTTGGAAATGGTTCATAAAATTCAAAAATGGCTTATTGTTCACCACTTCACAACAAAGAATTAAAACATATTGGTACAAAAATCTGTGACTTCAACCAGAACCAAACTTTCTCAGTCCACAAGAATATTGAAATTTTAAAAATGTTACTTATCAGCAGACAACAAGCAAGCCATTTTCACTTCCTATGCACCATAATACATCTAAAACCACATGATTTGTTGTTAAAAACTTTTAATCAACTTTCTGGTTTGCTCTAGTTCATCTAAAATCAAAGTCTTAAGTTTGCATGTTCAATACAATCAACTTAACTCATGGTCAAATAATATCTTCCTTTTCATTTTTATTCTTACGAGAAAAGACAGGTAGCCAAGATCTCTTGACATAGGAGAGCAGCCAATACTCACATGCAAGACTGCCAATGACCACTTGGAACCCCTTTCTGGAGAGGCAAGAGTCCCAACCAAGGTACATCTACCTAATAAGTAATTATTTTCAATCAAGCTTAAGTTAAAAGAAGGCACATACCCCAACACGCAGCACTTGCACACGGGGTGTGAGGCACCAAACCAACAAAACAAAGAAGAGTAGAAAAAATACAACTTAAAGTCGGACACAACACAAGTATTCAAAAAAGGATCCTACTGAGTTTTATTGGTGGTATTAGAATAATATAAGAATAGATTATAGAATACCAAAGATTCTTATTTTGTGAAGCTCCCTTTTTTTATTTTCTATATACTGAACTACTTCTCTCCCTATCCAACTCTTTCAAAATTAGTGGCAGCATCCTAAAATATTATCTACTCCACCAAACAACATTCTTTAAATCAATATGCATCCAACATAACTTTGAGCCAGCTAAGTCAAGAGCATGCCAAAAACATAGACCAAACAAAAATAGCCTTAGAAAAAATAAATTTAGAGGGAAAATGAAGGAGCCCTTTTACAGCTGAAATCTCAGTCATCTTCAAAGACCCTAAATATGTTATTTCAGAAAAATGTCTTCAGTTTCTGGTCTGGTTTTTACCTCACCATTAGCTAAAAAGATGTTACTTGTTACATAACTGATGGGAAATGCAACTCAAGTAGAATTATTCTTCTAAGGGGTGTTTGGTTCAAGGATTGTGGGATTCTCATGGGATGGGAATCCCACATTCCCATGTTTGATTGGCCGGGAATCTCTTTTCCGGTAATGTTTTATTACCAATAGTAGATTTTTTAGGGTATATTACCGGAAATGTCATTACCTCCCTTCCTTTAGGTATTGTAACATTACCGGCGTTTTAGACTAAAATGCCCTTAAATTTTTATTTTTTTTCAAAAATATCATTCTTCTGTCATTGAATAATAAAAATTCTACGAATGTTAAATTACAAATTTATCCTTAAATTATTTTAGATTTACAAAAAAAAATCTATAATTAAAATTTTATATGAAGTTCAGGGGTTAAAATTTTTTTTACCCTTTCATTAAACCTTTTTTATATTTTTAATTTTGTAAAAAAATTATATAAATATTATGAATTTAATTTTTTAAAAAAATATATAAATATTTTATAATTTGTAATATTATACAAATATATAATAAGGACAATTTAGTCAAATATACATTCCAATAATCTTTTATTCTTTTAACCAAACACGGTAATCTTACATTCCAGTTAAACCAACCAAACATAAAATACAACATTCCCAGTAATCCTATTCCATGGTAATCTTTTATTCCCACTGGTAATCTTACATTCCGTGAACCAAACGCAACCTAAATATGAGTATGACAACATCTCCACTTTAACTCCAAAAGCTACACTACTTGTTGGCAGTCGGCAGTCGCAACACACAAGCAACTACTTTTAGCAAAATGCACGATAGTGTAAAACTGGTTTAACACTAAATAACTAGAAATAGTATCTACACACTGTCAAATCTGAAACTTGATATCATAATTTTTCACAAGAATAAACATACTTAACTACACCAAACCAAAAAAAATCAATGTAATAACAAAAACAGCTAATTAGAAGCAATCGACCCAAACATGCAAGCTGGTTAAACCCCTAAGTCTATCATCTTTTCAAAATTAGGGTATTCCTCAAAGCAACATCCAAAAGATGGCCATAAAATGAATTCTGAAGCACCCTGACTTAGCAAATCAAAACTAACCGCATTGAAAGCCTTCCCTGACAATCAATAACAAATACCCCAAACAATAACTAAATACAAAATCCAGAATAACGGAGGGACACAATTAAAGCAATGTTTGTCTAGCCGTAAGCTTTAAACCAATAAAGAAAAAATCACCCCTACACTTTCTTTGAGAGGCAGGTTAAAGGAAATCCAAAACAAATGAAAAATAAATAAATGAAAAACCAGTTCATCTCACGAATTAAAGGTGCTGTTGTACATCTGTTTCGAGTCGAAACTAACGGAAAAAGTAAGTCATACCCAAGAAAATCATGAAAAACTAAGATGGGTTTCAGATTCTAGCTAGAGATAAGCTAAAACAAGACGGACCCATTACCATTTTTAAGCCATAAACGTACTGTAAGAATCACTTTTGTTTTTATCAAAGGAAGCGCAAAAGAAAACACGCGTGTAAAATATAAAAATATAATAAAAATATAAGAGATAGAGAAAGGCCCACCACGGCTTGAAGAGCAGTTTACGGTGGCTGCGTCGGCGGGATGCGGTGGCTTCGATGGTGGCGGTGATGGCCGAGATACGGAGAGAGAGATCAGAGAGAAATGTTTTACTTCTTCAGTAGGGTTAAATAAATAAGAATTTTCGTATTTTGCATCTGAGATTGTTACCATTGTTATTCTTGGCTCCAACCAATAGTGGCCCTCCACCTGTCACGAAATTTTCTAGCCCATTTGCGTTTTTAACTTAATTTTACAGCTTTCCAATTTCGACCCCTAGACTTTCATTTGTTAAAAAATTATATCCAAAACGAAGTAACAAATCTTCTTGATCACTTCTGCTTAGTTTCTCCGAAAATTTGCTAAAAACATACTTGTAATTTTGAACATGCATTTGGCGAACTGTTTGTATAACACATTTGTTTATGTTCATTTGTTTAGTTAAATAAACAAGTATGAATAAAATGGGTAAATTATATATTTAGTACATAAACTATTAGTTTTGATCTGTTTTAGTACATAAACTTTCAATTTTTTCAAAATCATATTTCAAGTTTAGTTTTTGTTTCATTTAGTACCCTGACGTTAAAAACTTTAGTTTTTGTTTCATTTTAGTATCACATTCAAAATTTAACATGAAGTTTTGAAAAATTGAAAGTTTAGGTATTAAAATGGACCAAAATTGATAGTTTAGGTATTAAATGCGTTAAGTTTTTTATCAGATGTGTACTAAAATGAAATAAAAATTAAATCTTAGGTATGATTTTTAAAAAATGAAAGTTTAGGTGCTAAAACGAACCAAAAACTAATATTTTAGGTACTAAATGCATAGTTTACCCCTAAAAAATTATATTCATTTAATGAACGCACGAACACGAACAAAAGCTTGTTTGGTTCGTTTATGTTCACAAACAAGTTCTTCTATGAACCCGTTAATCGATTCGTTCATTTATGTTTATGAGCAAATTCGTTTATCAAACTCTCCTTTTCATTTTATTTACTTTTACATTTTAAACATTGTTGAAAGTATGGACTAAATTGAATATATTAAAAAATTAAAAATATAAATATAAATTTTAATAAGTTTAAGCACTAGTAGTATAATTTTATCAAATTTTTAGCATGCTAATGAAAGGTTAAAACTATAAAAATTAAACATATAAACCAACACTAAATGAATATGTTCATAAACGCGAAACAAAAATGTTTGTGAACGTTAAATGAACACGTTCGTAAACATATAAATGAACATGAACACATTCAAAAATAAATAAATGAACACGAAAACAATATTAAAAAAATTAAACGAACACGAACCGAACATAAACATGAACATGAAATTGAACATGAACACCTTCAAAAATAAACAAACAAACACGTACATAACATTATTCATTCAAGCTCGATTCATTTACACCACTAAACATAAATAATTCATAACCCATAAAGTTTCAAAGTTTTCATTCAACATAAATTAAATCAAATCATAAATTTTTCATTCCGTTATTGGTTTTTTTAAATGTTCTAATTAAAATAACATAAATTGAAATCAAATCATAGTTGTTCATTAAATCTTTATATTTACCTCAATTATGTGAAAATTAAAGGGCAAAAAGACCAAAGGTCCCTATACATATTTTAGAAAAAACCAATGTGGTTGTAGTATTATTTTTTCTCTCAATTTGGCCCTCCAACTTAGAAAATAAACTTAATGTAGTCCTTTGTGTAACACCCCAACTCGTACCCGACCCGAATACGAGTCCAATATGTCACATTGAATTTTCAAAGAAATTAACTTATACAAAATAGTAGAAAATTTAAATTTATATTAAATAAACTGAATAATTTACATAAATTCAATACAAAAGGTTTACAAAATGATCAGAGCATATACAACTTGAACCCTTAATTACATGCCAACATTGGTTAATATAACAAAAAGAACATACTGTTAAGTTGTTTCTAATATGATATCTGAAGAAGTTATGCTGTCCCAGCTGCCTATTCGAGCCCTTCTGAGTTCTTTGATCCTACGTGTGAAACACTCACACGCTAAGTCATCGACTTAGTGAGGTGATAACTCCGTAAAAAGGTCATATTTAGGACCTTTTCACTTAAGTTATTTATTGTCTAAGAGCTCATTTAGGATAATATAGATGCATTTAGGAGCATATAGTTGCATATGGTGAAATTCTGTTTGTCGCGACATTTTATTTTGTAATCAGTGCTGCATTATGAGGAATGTGTTTTGTTTAATGATGTTTAGGATTTGGGAGCAATGATAAGCAGAAGGGAATTGCCATGACATGATGAGACTACTGAGCAAAATGTGATTGTCGCGACAACTCGGACGGTATTTCTGGGCAGAAAAGATAAAAGAATATATTTTTAGTAAGAGCCGGCTGTCATTGTCTATGCGTGATTTCTGCAATCAGCCATAAAGAAGGGGCTCATTACCACCTATGCACCATCTTTCACATAAAAGGAATGAACTTTAGGGTACTAGGGTAATTTTAACACAAAACCCTAGGTTCATTCTCTCCCTATAAATAAGAGATGAAGCCACAATGAAAAAAGACTTTGGAAACTTTTAGACAGTCGCCAAGAGCTTAAATATTTGGAGAAAAAGATCTCTCTTTTTTCTATCAAACGTTTTTACCGTGGCATTCCTCCGTTGAAAAGCTAGAGGGAGTGGCGAACTAGGTGTCCAAGAGGAGCTAGATCGCTGGGACAGTTTGTGGTGGCCGAGGGAAGCTCCGGCAGTGCATGTCGAAGGCTTTTCCTCCTTCTATCTGCTCTTTACTTTCATATTTTATCATTTGGGTTGTAAGGAACTGATTAACTTGCTTTGTGCTTGCTTATTTCGAACCCCACCATGAACTAATCCTATTTGGTGGGAGTTTATTTTGGATATTTAAGATTTGCTTTAATGAATGGTTGTTTTTCTATGTTATAATCTGTTTTGTTTATGAAGCTTAGTGCCTTAAGGTTGTAGGAGCTATGAGATTAGACATTCCTTAGGTGATTACTTAGTGTTCGAGAGAATGTCTAATTAGTACATCCTTAGTATTCGAGAGAAACTAGGGAGGAACCACATAAGCAAGGGGTTATATATAGTAACTAGGCCTAATCCACCTTAGAGATAAGGCTAGGATTTCATTCGACTAAAAGAAGTTGTGCATAAGCGATAGGTTAGATGTCAATACTGTCGCAAAAAGGTATTGCCGAGACATATCCTGTTATCTGGACCAATAAGATCACTGTAGGGGCTTACGCCAACCGGTTTTGCCAAGGCATCTTCAATCCGTCGAGTCCCTTACTAGAGATAGCATAGGGCACCCTAGTAGACTCTGTCGGGAAGATAAGGCATAAAAATAAGACCATTTTGAGAAGTAGACTTAGATTTTCCTAAGTAACTCCTATCACTCATTCCCGTAATAGCTTATCGTGTGAGGAGTCTAAAGTCCTTATCAACAAATCCAGTATTTACAGTTTATTTTACATTTACATTTGTTTTCACTAAGCACAATTCAATTTGCCATAACATCTCAATTTACTACCATATTACCATCAGACAATTTACCATATTAACATCTCAATGTGTGCCGAAGAAGGGAGGTACGATAGTGGTGACAAGTGAAGATAATGAGCTACTACCTACATGCACTGTCACCGGTGGCGAATCTGCATGAACTACCGCAAACTCAACAAGGCCACCAATAATGATCACTTCCCTTTTCCTTTCATCGATCAAAAGCTAGATCGACTTGCTGGTAAGGCATTTTATTGTTTCTTGGACGGATACTCGAGGTATAATAAAATTGCCATCGCACCAGAGGACCAAGAGTGGACAACGTTCATGTATCCCTATGGCACCTATGCTTCTAGAAGAATGCCTTTTGGACTCTGTAATGCCCCGGCAACTTTTCAGCGCTGCATGTAAGCCATATTTTCAGACATGGTTGAGGATTTTCTAGAAATTTTTATAGATGATTTCTCTATTTCTGGAGTTGACTTTAAAAAATGCCTTGGCAATCTGGAAAAGGTACTCAAGCGTTGTGAGAATGCCGATCTTGTGCTGAATTGCGAAAGGTATCACTTCATGGTGACCGAAGGCATTGTTCTAGGCCATAAAATTTATGCAAAGGGCATTGAAGTGGACAAAGCCAAGATCGAGGTAATTGAGAAGCTACCCCTACCAATTTTTGTCAAGGGTATTCGGGGTTTTCTTGGACATGATGGGTTTTATAGATGATTTATCAAGGACTTCTCCATGATATCCAAGCCCTTGTGCACCTTGAGCTGAAATGAAGACTTATCTCTGCACCTATCGTGGTTCCTCCATACTGGAAATCACCGTTCGAGTTAATGTGTGTTGCAAGTGATCTTGTCATGGGAGCTGTGCTTGGGCAATGTAGAGGTAAAATTGTCCATGTCATATATTATGCTAGTCGTACCTTGAATGAGGCACAATTGAAGTATACTACCATTGAGAAAGAATTACTTGTCGTGGTATTTGCATTTGACAAGTTTAGGCCATACTTGATAGGCACCAAAGTCATAGTTCACACTGATAACTCAGCTATAAATTACTTAGTAAACAAGAAAGATGCCAAGCCTAGACTCATTAGGTGGATATTACTACTGCAGGAATTTGACTTAGAAGTAATAGATTGGAAAGGTACTGAGAACCAGGTTGCTGATCATTTATCTAGGCTAGAAAACACTTCAGAATGCCATGACATTTTTTATATTAATGAAGAATTCCCTGATGAGAAAATTTTATATGTCACGACAATCTCGTGGTACGCTGACCTTGTTAATTTTCTTGTTAGTGGTATTTTTCCCTATGAATTGAACAACCAGGGTAAGAAAAAGTTCTATCATAATGCCAAGTTCTATTTTTGGGACAAGCCATATTTGTTTAAACAATGTGACGATCAAATGATTCGACGATGTGTCCCTGAAGAGGAGCAACGAGACATTCTACACCATAGCCACACAATACCCTATGAAGGGATTTTGGAGGTACGAGGACTGCTGCAAAGCTCCTACAATCAGGCTTTTATTGGCAATCACTGTTTAAGGATGCTCACGAGTTTTGCAA